CTCACGGGTACAGAAGGTTGCGGTGGTGGAAATAGGGTTTCGTGGTGCTCTTGGATGTTTTCGGGATATATGAGTATATAGGCGAAAGAAGTAGGTCAGTGGAGCCATGAGGGGCCCACGAGGGTGGGGGGCGCGCCCTCCTACCTCGTGGCCGCCTTGTTGCTTCCTTAACGTCCACTCCAAGTCTCCTGGATTGTGTTTGTTCCAAAAATGATTCTCCCAAAGGTTTCATTCCGTTTGGACTCCATTTGATATTCCTTTTCTATAAAACACTGAAATAAGCAAAAAAAAAAATTGCACTGGGCCTCTGGTTAATAGGTTAGTCCCAAAAATAATATAAAAGTGTATAATAAAGCCCATTAAACATCCAAAACAGATAATATAATAGCATGGAACAATAAAAAATTATACGTTGGAGACGTATCATAACGCGAGAGGAGGTGAGCTCCATGGCAGAGGGAGCAACGGCGGTGGTGGGAGTCGGGCGGCGTGGGGGAGCGAGGGGGCCTGGGCTGGCTCGCCGGCGGTTGGAGCTGTCGAGGGACGAGGCGTCCGGGACGGACGGCACACGGGCAGAGGACAAGGAAGCAGAGGGGAGCGAGGAGGAGAGGCAGCCCGCGGAGAGGCGACGGGGTGGCGCTCGCCGGAGTCAGGGCCAAAGGGCCGGATCGAGGGGGACGTCGGCGGCGTGAGGAAGAAGGAGTTGGGGATCAGGAGGAGGTAGGAGGAGATCGGGGTCGAGCGTGGGAGATGGCGGCGCGAGGGAGGAGATCGAAGGGAGATGGGGATCTACCGGTCGGGATGAAATCAGGCAAGGGTTAGGATTAGGTGGGGGCGCCTGGGCCTAGGAGCAGGTGGCTGGGCTGTTGGCTGGGTCATGATGTAAATGGGCTGGCCCGGTTCTCTCTCTCTCTCCCTGCTTATTTTATTTCCCAATACAGAAAATATCAAAGAACAAAAGGAGAAGAAAGGAAGGTAGAGATATAATTTGGGCATGGGGATTATTTTTCTGGACTCGCAAAAATGTGCATGTTCATAGAAAAATAGAAGCGGCAAGATTGCAGGAATTAAATTCAAACTCATTTGAATTTAGTTCGGATGGTTTGAACTAGGACTAGGATTTAGAAGTGTCCAAAAATGTTGAGAATTAGGTGGTGCTCAAGAAAGTGATGAAAGAATTGTTGGCAAAGTTTGAGGCAAGAAATTGAGATAGAAAATGCATGGAACTTAAATTGTAAGTGTGGTATGATTTATTTCAATAGTATTTTATCATAGCTCCCTAAATATTGGGAGGATATGTTATAAAGATAAATCACCATGTGACATCCCTCAATTTAAGTGGATCGAAGATCCATACAGTTTATTTAAAAGAGTGCAAGAATTTTAATGAGAAGATGGCATAATGACATGATGCAATTGATGCTAAGATGAATGCAACAAGCAAATAATTATCACGACCAACACGAAATATATGAAAGGCATCTGGAGCGTCGGTCTCGGGGCATCACAATTAAGTAACTGGAGAAGCCTCCCCAAAGCTTGTGGGAGACTATCTTCTTCAATTTGCACAAAATTAAATATTTCATTTAAAGGAGCTTGTTTCTAATGAGCAGGAAAATATTTTTCAGAGAAGTAATAAATCATATCCTGGGGACTACGCACACAACCAAGAGTAAGAGAATTAAAACATAACTTAGCATCACCCTTTAACGAGAAAGGAAACAATTTAAGAATATAGTAATAGCGATTTTTTCCTCATGAGCAAATAGGGTGGCTGTATCATTCAGTTTAGTAAGATGTGCCACGATAGCTTCAGATTCATACCCATGGAAAGGATCAGATTCAACCAAAGTAATTAATTCAGGATCGACAAAGAATTCATAATCCTTATCAGTAACACAGATAGGTGAAGTAGCAAACTTAGAATCATATTGCATTCTAGCATTCAAAGAGTTTTTTTCCACTTGCATAATAAATTCTTAAGATCATCTCTATCCTTACAGGCAAGAAAGTCCCTAGCTACCAGTCCATCCATAACATAACCCTCAGGCATAACAGGAAGTTCCTATCTAGGAGAGCTGGTCTTATACGCGTTTCAAAGTTTTCAGTTTCAATAATTTCATCAGTTTCAGAAATAGCATCATCTTCAGCATAATCAATAGTTCTAACTCTAGCAAGATGTTCACCAAGTAATTCTCCCAGTGGCACAGTTTTCTCAAGCAAAGTAGTAGCATCATAAGCATAATTCATAGCAGAAGTAGCATCATCAATAACATGCAACATATCAGAATCAATAGCAGGTGTAGGTGTCGCAAGCTTAGTCAAAACAGAAGGTGAATCAAGTGCAGAGCTAGATGGCAGTTCCTTACCTCCCTTCGTAGTAGAGGGATAGATGTTGGTTTTGGTATCTTTCAAACTCTTCATAGTGATTAACAGATATAAATCCCAAGTGACTCAGAGAATAGAGCTATGCTCCCCGGCAACGGCGCCAGAAAAAGATCTTGATAACCCACAAGTATAGGGGATCGCAACAATTTTCGAGGGTAGAGTATTCAACCCAAATTTATTGATTCAACACAAGGGGAGCCAAAAAATATTCAAGTATTAACAGCTGAGTTGTCAATTCAACCACACTTGAAAGACTTAATATCTGCAGCAAATTATTTAGTAGAAAAGTAGTATGGAAGTAACGGTAACAATTGCAAAAGTAACAGTAGCAGTTTTGTAGCAATTGTAACAATGGCAACGGAAAAGTAATGTAGCAAAGATCAATATGTGAAAAGCTCGTAGGAAATGGATCAGTGATGGATAATTATGTTGGATGGCATTCATCATGCAACAGTTATAACCTAGGGTGACACAGAACTAGCTCCGATTCATCAATATATTGTAGGCATGTATTTTGAATATAGTCATACATGCTTATGGAAAAGAACTTGCATGACATTTTTTGTCCTACCCTCCCGTGGCAGCGGGGTCCTAATGGAAACTAAGGGATATTAAGGCCTCCTTTTAATAGAGAATCGGACCAAAGCATTAGCACTTAGTGAATACATGAACTCCTCAAACTACGGTAATCATCGAAAAAAATCCCAATTATTGTCACCTTGGGGTATGCAGATCATAACTCGTAATAGGTGTCTACAACTTGCAAGATAGGATCAAGAACACAAATATATTCATGAAAACATAATAGGTTCAGATCTGAAACCATGACACTAGGACCCTAGTGACAAGCATTAGGCATAGCAAAGTCATAGCAACATCAATCTGAGAACATAGTGGATACTAGGGATCAAACCCTAACAAAAATAACTCGATTACTTGATAAATCTCATCCAACCCATCACCGTCCAGCAAGCCTACGATAAAATTACTCACACACGGCGGTAAGCATCATGAAATTGCTGATGGAGGAAGGTTAATGATGATGATGGCGATGGATGCCCCTCTCTGGAGCTCCGAACGGACTCCAGATCAGCCCTCCCAATGAAGAACAGGAGGCGGCGGCGGCTCCGTATCGTAAAACGCGATGAATCCTTCTCTCTGATTTTTTCTCCCTGAACGTGAATATATGGAGTTGGAGTTAGGGTCGGAGGAGGTCCAGGGGACCCATAGGGTAGGGGGCGCCCTAGGGGGGGGGCGTCCTCCACCCTTGTGGACACGTGGTGGGTCCCCTCTCATTGATTGTTTCGCCAATATTTTTTATTTATTTCAGAAATATTCTTCGTGAATTTTCAGGTCAATCCAAGAATTTTTATTTCTGCATAAAAATAACATCAAGGCAATTCTACTGAAAACACCGTCAGTCCGGGTTAGTTCCATTCAAATCATACAAATTAGAGTCCAAAACAAGGGTGAAAGAGTTTGGAAAAGTATATACGATGGAGACGTGTCAATCACCTCATCAAAGCTTATATTCCAACTCCGAGATGCTTGCACCGGTCCATAGATGGATCGCTAGAGCTTGCACACTTTGTCAGCACCTTTAGGATTGACAAAATCTTTTGGTTGCATCATATACAACTTTTCTTTAAGAAATCCATCAAGGAATGCAATTTTGACATCCATTTGCTAGATTTTGTAATCATAAAATGCGGCAATTGCTAACATGATTCGGACAAACTTAAGCATCGCTACGGATGACAAAGTCTCATCGTAGTCAACCCCTTGAACTTTAAAGTCTCATCGCATCTCTATTTAATTAGTTGCAAGGTCACACTTTATGAATTACTAGCTGATGAAATTATCCATGACAATAACTTCAAGGTAACATCCTTTTGATAGAAACATTTGTGGACAAAATGATTACCGCACCAGCTGCTTGTCGTATACTTGCTTTGTATTTTTAGTATTGCTCTGATCAAAGTATAATCCCAAAATGCTGAGTGCATCTCTCATTTGTCCACAGGAACAGAGAAACTGATCTCCAGACTCCAATCTCTATGAGCATATCAAGGGCCATTGGGGTCATTAGTGGCCTCAATGAATGTGTCAATTTGTTTCAGTGGGCTGGATCTTCTATTTCATATCTGCGCTCCCGGTGGTCTGCAACACAGGAGGAAAGTATTCATCATGAAGTATTGCACTTGCAGAGTGGCTTACAACGTCTTAGAGATACCCTGCCTGCAATGTACGGCCTTATTGACCAAGCAGAGTGGAGGATCCACGAAGGTCTTGTCTCTGAACTCCTTCCCAGCCTCAAAGATGCAGTGAATGATGCTGATGACCTTCTTGATGAGTTCAGATGGCATGAGCTAAAGATGGAGGTGGAGGGCAATGCAGATCATTGTGCTTTTCTTGACTTCTACAACACCACCGTACAAGGAAGCTTCAACAAAGTGAATGTTATCCAAGAGAGGATGAATAGTATTTCTGGCCAGCTAGGGAAAATGAAACTGTATGGAGTGACACCAGGGTTCGACAAATCAGTCAGGCCAGACACTACCCCTTTCCCGAATGAAAAAAACATATTTGGTCGTGACGAGGAACTGAAGGAGGTGATGGGATTTCTCGGTGTACCTCAAACTCAAAGTAAAGGAATGACCTGTTCAAAACGCAAGAGAGCAAGTAGCGCAGTCAATGCATCAACAAGCACATCAGCACGGAACCAAGTTAATGAATCAAGAATACCAGCTATTCCTGTTTTGCCAATAGTTGGAATGGGGGGCGTTGGAAAGACCACTTTGGCTCAACATATATGCAATCATCAACAGGTGAAAGATTACTTTGAGTTAATAATCTGGATTTGTGCAGATGACTTTGATGTGAAGAGATTAATTAAAGATGCCATACAATCCGCTTCCGGAAAAAAGACAAAACTTGATCATTTAGCTTCTCTTCAACATGCTCTTTCTGACAGTGTGAGCAATAAACGGTTCTTGATTGTTGTTGATGACGTGTGGGATGATGCCTTGAAGGAAAATGAGCAGCGTTGGAAAGACTTTTATGATTCTTTGACAAACGTGGTACAGGGAAGTATGATGTTGGTCACAACAAGATTTCCAGATGTTGCTGATAGAGTGCACACAATGGAGCCCATTCCATTAGCTGGTTTGAAGGAGGATGTGTTTTGGGATTTCTTCAAACTTTGTGCATTTGGGTCTGAGAGTTCCGAGAATGATCCCGAGTTAGAGAGGATTGGAAAAAGCATAGTTCCAAAGTTGAAGGGTTCTCCTTTGGCCGCCAAAACTCTTGGACGCCTATTAGGAAAGAACCTTCATACAACACATTGGAATAATATACTAGAGAATGAACTCTGGAATTTGGAACAAGAGAGGACTGATATTTTGCCAGCCCTTCGATTGAGCTACATATATTTGCCATTTCACTTGAAGAGATGCTTCTCATTCTGTGCTGTATACGCCAAAGATCACAGATTTGAAAAGGGCCGTCTAGCTGAAATTTGGGTAGCAGAAGGCTTTGTGGAACCTCAAGGTAATACTCCACTTGAAGATATTGGCCATCAGTACTTTGACGACCTTGTAAATAGGTCCTTCTTTCAACAAGTTCGTGGTACATACGTAATCCATGACTTGCTGCATGACATGGCAAAACTAGTGTCAGGTCATGACTGCTTCACCATAAGAAATATGAGGGACATCCAAATGGTTCCCGAGAATGTTCGTCATCTGTACATACTCCCAAGCAGAGAATTGAGCTCTTCCAACTTGTTGAGCCTAAGCAAGCGCACAAAAAAGCTGCGTACGCTAATTTGTGACAAGTCTTTTGGGAATGAAGCTGCAGCTATAATGGACCGTTGGTGTAGTGAGCTTCAGTGTTTACGTGTGATTTTTTGGGCCTCTTCAAATGAGTTGCCAGACAGTATTGCCAACTTGAAGCATCTTCGGTATCTTGACATCTCCAAGGATTGTCCTTTCAAGAGTTCTTCAGCATTCTGTTCCCTCTATAATCTGCAGAGGTTATATGTGGAGGAGTGCAACTTAGAAAGTTTGGCCGGTGACTTCAGTAAGTTGATAAGTTTACGGGGATTTAAATCACGGGGATTTCAATATTATGCAGGGCGTGAACAGAGCATTGATGCAACCAATCAGTGCGAAATGAAGTTATATAAGAATTTTAACCAATTCGATGGACATATGGACATATCGAATCTTGGTTCTATGAGCAAGGATCATGCAGCAGAATTCAAACTAAAGGATAAGAAATATCTTCGCAGACTGGCACTGAACTGGTCTTGGGATTGTTCTCCTGAGAACCGTGAGAGAGAAGTGCTTCAAGTCCTACAACCTACCACCAGTCTCAAATCTCTTTTCCTCTTTAATTATCCAGATGTGTCGCTCCCAAACTGGTTTCAGCCACGTATAAACTTAAATGAGATTCCTGATGTGCTAGTTGACAACAATAATGACGAGATTAGTACTTTGTCGTCCCTGGAAGAGCTATCCATTTCTTGGTGTCAAAATCTACGAAGTGTCGAACAACTTCTGCGTCCAGCTTATGTGCCTGCCATCAAGAAATTAAGGATTTTTGCTTGCAACCAGTTAGTATCATTACCAACTGAAACGTTTGGGGATTTTAATTCCCTTGAGAAGTTAGACCTGGATTGTCCAAATATCTGCTCAAGAAGTTTGGTGGCGCACTCCCTCTTGAAGTTGAAACTGGGAAGTTCTCGGAATCTCACAGACAATATCCAGTGCTGCTCCCTCACCGAGTTTTATTTATCATGTGACTATGTCATGGGCATCCAACCCCAAACGTGGAATCTTCCAGCTCTACAAAAGTTGCATGTTAAAAATTGCAGATCTCTTACAATTGTTGGACAAGGACGACCACCCATTAGGGCATTCGAATCCCTTACATTGCTAATCATTGACAATTGTGAGAACCTGAAAACCATTGATGGTCTCCTAACGGAACAATGTTTGCCTGCCATTCGAAAGATTGATGTCAGGAATTGTGGCAAGTTACTGTTGATTTTTGGTGAAACGCCTGGGAGTCTTCCTTCCCTGGGAGATCTGTTGCTTTATGATTGCCCTACTCTCAGATGGCCAAGGGAATTAGTGTTACCATCATCCTTAAAAAGGCTCCACTTAGTTCGATGTGGGGATATCTCTTCCTGGTATTCAAACTGCCTACAAAACTTCAAATCTCTGGTTGAACTGGTTTTGGTTGGATGTCCAAGTATAACATCCATTCCACTCGGAGTCTGCAGAAATAATCTCACATCACTTGATGAGTTGTATATCTCGGGCTGTCCAGACCTTGTGTCAATTGGTGGAGCAAAGGCAGTTGCAAAATTAAAGTATGTGCGCATTAATGATTGTCCAAAGATGGAGGGTCTTAAGCAGCCTCTGATTCGAGGCCGCTCAAACACAGATATGTTGTCCCTTAGACTTCAATCTTCTCATAAATTTCCGACCTGTTTGTGAGGAGAGGCCGCTTCCACTAATCTTATATTCCACCTGGTATGTGTGTTTACATCTCACAGAAGTTCACACTAGTTCCTTTCCAGATTTTGTTCATTTGTTCTTGCATTGTTCTGATGTACTCCCTCCGTTCGGAATTACTCGTCCAAGAAATGAATGTATCTAAGTATCCACAACTAGATACATTCATTTCTTGGACGAGTAATTCCGAACGGAGGGAGTACAACAATATTACACGTCTGTAGCTGCGTATGTTGGGCGACCTACTGATAACACCTTATTCAATGCACTTTTCTGATCCATGGTCAAAATGCTTTCTTTTCTGTGTTGCCTGAATTCACTATGCACAGTAGCAATCACGTGAAGGAAAGTTGACCGATGGTTTTGTTTTCAATGATTTTGTTTTTTTATATTAGCTGTGAGCACATATAGGAGTATATACTAGAGTTAATTACCGCAGTACTAATTGTCTTCCTGTGTCGCTACAATTTATCACTGCATATATCTAGGATCCAAGGGCACCGGGAATTCGCAATGGATGCAAGTTGGGCGTGTGCATGCTTAGTTAGCCAATACGTCTGTCAGGTTATTTGTTTCTGGTCCAGTACAAGTAGAATATTGTAGCTAACTGAAGCGCCTCGTGAATCATGCTTGAACCTTCTAGCTAAGTAGGAGTGGTACATGCTTCAGTGATGTATGGTCTTTGAAACTCTGTATATGACGTGAGGACAGATTCTTAAGTATCATTGCAGCCTCCAGTCTCATTTTCCTATTCAGAAATGTGTGGATTTTCGCTCTATGCACTTTGCTGATCAATGCCTTCTTCTCTTGATGTAGCTTATCATCGAGTGAGAGTTAGACTCGCATCAAGGCCAGTGAGGAGAAAAAAGAGCATTTGTCTCGGTTCCGGCAATCCAAACTTATGATGATAATAACTACCGGTTCCGGCAGAAGGCGTCTCTAGAGCCATTCATAACGTCTCGATGTCTTCGAAGCGAGTTTACTTGTTCTTGGCAACGTGTGGTACAGACGCCATCTAGTAATTTGTATCGCATTTCTTTGCGTATTCCTGATATTTTTTCTTCTGTATTTGGAATAAGTGAGGGTAAAACATGTACTGCACATCTGCGCGTAAGTTTCTTTTAATCCGTGATAAATTGCGTGTGACTGTAGCATCGCTCGCGTACGCGAGGGGGCGGCTAGCGGCTGCAAGCCTGCACCTGAAGCAACACACCCCGGCGCAGCGCAGCGCAGCCGACAAGACACACGCACGCGGGGCCACGCTGCGGCCGGCCGGCACGGGAGACGTCATCCATGGCGCGCCCGCCGGTGGATGCGCCCCGCCCCGGCCCGTAGTTGTTGCCTTGTTGATGGTGCCGCTATCTCTCGTCTTGGCTCCGGTTCCACAGTCAAGCGCGTGAGGTCACAGCTCCCCGGTCCGGGCCCCATGCCATGCCAATCAGAAACCCACCCCACACCCCAGTCCACACTCGTCGACGTCCACGTAGCAACAACTCACTCAACGGGGACGCCATAGGAAGAAGAATAAGTGAACAACGAATATCACGGCAGCCACATCATACCCCACCTAACCCAACTCGCGTTCCTTCCAACTCCGATAAGCCGCCGTTCAGAAAAACGTGCCAGTACTATCCCGTAAGTTCGCAGCATTTTCCTCCACAAAAGAACAAAGCCCACCTACAACCAATTAATTGATTCGAGTAGGAGGAGTGGGTGAACATTTCATCATTGTTCAGGTAGACGGCCTCGCACACACGCACATTATATCGCAGTTCCCCTCCTTCCCTTTCATCCATCTCCAATCTTTGCTGCCAGAGTCTGCTCCACCATCTGCTCCAAGAACGCCAATCACTTGCCTGGTACTGAAATGCACGAGTTTGAACAATTTGGCTTCACTTTCCTTTAACAAATTCGCGCATAAATTCGATTGACCTGTTCTTATTTTCAGGATCTATACTGGTGACTAACTGACCGGTGAGTAGATCGGGCTGTGCAAGCTATCTTTCAGTTCGGTTACCTTGCTGAAGCACCGATTGATCAGCGAATGATGATGGCCGACAGCGGAAAGGGATAGCAGCTTTCCATATCACTGGCACCCAAGATCGATAGGAGTAAGCTTGTACATCCATTCCCTCTTCTACTGTATTTATCTTCTTCTTTTTTTGCATATTCTTTTCAATGGAAGGCCGAAAGCTGCCAGGCTTCATAAACAAGGCAGGAGAATATAAAAGATCCAAACTGAATACATGTATAAATGATTAACAAAATGTTAAGAAATGGAGATGATACGAACTCCGAAAACTGGAACACCAGTTTCAGTCTTACCTTTCTTCATCAGATCATATATCATTAGGCAGCTGTAAGCTGTATTATGTTGTGTTTTTCCTATGGTCATCCTCTTGTAGCTACAGTACAAAGTAAAATCTAAATTTACTTAATTGCAAGGACACGCTTAAACTTTATTTCCATGTTTTCCTACTTCCTGATGAAACTATCAATGAAAAGAATTTCAAGATGTATTTCATATACTTGTTTTGTATTTTTAGTATTGCTCTGAACAAGTATGCTTCCAGAATGCTTAATGCATCCCCTTTTTGTTCATAGGACCAAAGAAATTGACATCCAGACTCCAATCTCTATGAGCATATCCCGGGCCATTGGGGTCATTAGTGGCCTCAATGAATGTGTCAATTTGTTTCAGTGGGCTGGATCTTCTATTTCATATCTGCGCTCCCGGTGGTCCGCAACACAGGAGGAAAGTATTCATCATGAAGTATTGCACTTGCAGAGTGGCTTATGTTAGACTGTATATGGATACGTAGACTTGTGTATACGTGTTGTACTTGTACTTGTACCCTCTGGTACTTATATATAATGAGATAGCCGCACCCCCCAAGGGTGTCGAGCAGTTGCCCCAATATTATAGTTTTACATGGTATCAGACTAGGGTTCCCGTCTTCCGCTGCACCCCTTGCTGCCGCCGCCGCCTCCGCCGATCGCTGCCGCCGCCTAGCCCGATGGCCTCCGCGCACTCCGCCGCCGCCTCGGCTTCCTCTCCTGCTGGCGCGCCCGTCGCTCCCTCGTCGCCCTTTCTCGCATCCCCCCCGCTCGCCACGGCTTGGCGGCAGCCGTCGCTGCCCGCCGAAAGCCATCTGCAGGGCGGGCAGGGCGGGCAGGAGCAGGGCGGGCCGAGCCTGCCCCAGCCGCCGATCGCCACTGGTGGCGCCTCGCCCTCGACCTTCGCCTTCGCGCCGCCACCCTCTCGCGGCGCTGCACCGTCCGCCTACGGGGCGGCTCCCCAACCCTACGGAGCCCCTCCGCCCTACTATGGCGCTACCCCGACCTACGCTCCATGGTACGGCGCCCCTGCACCAACCTACGGCGCCGCGCCACCGATGCCTTCTACCTGGCCGATGCCTCCGCCGTCACAGATAGCGCCGTCACTCTATGGCGCTGCCTACGGCGCCGCGCCCGCCGTGTCTTCGGTGGCCACGCCTGGTCCGGTGGATGCCCCTTCCGGTCCTGGCTACGAGGCGTCCTTGGCCCTCGATCCCCATGATGGGCAGAACATGGGTCCCCATGCGGGTTATCCTCCGGCGCCATCGCCGTTCTACTTCTCGCATCTTCTTCCGGTGAAGCTTACACCGGACAACTACCTATCTTGGCGGGCGCAGGTGCTACCTCTCCTACGGAGTCGCTACTTGGAGGGCTATGTTGATGGCTCTATCCCGTGTCCGCCGCCGTATCACCCGGCTCATCATGTGTGGGTGGCCCAAGACCAGGCGATACTTTCGGCCATCCAGTCCTCGCTGACTCCGAGCGTGTCGTCGCTTGTCATCTTCGCCGCGACATCCCGGGAGGCTTGGTCTGCACTTCACAGCAGTTTTGCCTCTCAGTCTCAGGCGCGTGCTCACTCTATCCGCACTGAGTTGGGGGAGACCAAGCTTGGAGGCCTCACCATCACGGAGTACTTCAACAAGATGTCAGGACTTGCAGACACGCTGGCCTCCATTGGCCAGCCCCTTGGAGATGAGGACTTCACCACTCATGTGCTCAATGGCCTCGATGATGACTATGACAATCTCATTGAGAACGTCCATGGGCGCGAGGCGCCTCTCCCGCCACGGGAACTGTATGCGCGGCTCCTTGGTTGCGAACAGCGCATCAAAGCGCGTCGATCTACTCCGAGTTTTGCCTCTGCTAACGCCGCAACCCGTGGCAAATCGCAGAAGCCGTCGCTCCCTGCCAAGCCGGCGGGCACATCTCAGCCCTCACGGGGCGCCGCGCCGTCCATCACAGGGGGATCGCGGCCGGTGGCTTGCTGCCCCAGTTGTGGTGCTCAGCAGGCGTGCCAGCTGTGTGGGATTGAGCGCCACGTAGCTTCTCGCTGTCATCGCCACTACAAGCAAGATTTCCTTGGCCTCGGCAACAATGGCAAGGGGAATGAAAAACAGGCGGCCGCTGCGGTGGTGGGTCATGAGCACGGGCGTACTCCATCCTACTCGATTGATACCTCGTGGTACATGGACACGGGAGCTACCAACCACCTCACCAACGACATGAGCAAGCTCTCGGTCCAGGAGCCATATCGCGGTCATGATCAGGTGCACACCGCTAACGGAGCAGGTATGCGCATCTCCCATGTTGGTCAGGCATCCCTTCTTGCACACAATTCACGAAAACTGCATTTGTCTAACATCCTTCGTATTCCCACTGCTTCGCGTAGTTTGTTGTCTGTTCCACAACTTACTCGTGACAATAATGTCCTTGCTGAATTTCACCCTTTTCATTTCTTTATCAAGGATCGGGACACGAGGGCCGTTCTGCTTAGCGGTAGTCTTCGCCGTGGCTTGTATGCACTTGACGCGCCAACCGCACCTCCCATGCAGTTTTCTCCTCAGGCGTTCAGTGGTGTTCGTGTCTCGACTACACATTGGCACGCGCGACTTGGTCATCCTGCCGCTCCCATAGTCCGTCATGTGTTGCATCGTCATGAGCTACCAGTTGTGTCAAATAAAACTGCTGAAACTATTTGTGATGCCTGTCAGCAGGGCAAGAGTCACCAACTCCCGTTTTCAGAGTCTAGTCGTGTTGTGAAACATCCTCTTGAGCTTATTTTTTCCGATGTATGGGGTCATGCCCAAACATCTGTTAGTGGCCATAATTATTATGTCAGTTTCATTGATGCTTACACTCGGTTTACCTGGCTCTATCTTATTAAGAAAAAATCTAATGTGTTTGATGTGTTTATCCAGTTTCAAGCACATGTTGAGCGTCTCCTTCGCCAGAAAATTATTCATGTCCAAAGCGACTGGGGGGGTGAATACCACAACCTCAACTCATTCTTTAACAAGCTTGGGATTACACACCGTGTGTCTTGCCCCCATACGCATCAGCAGAATGGGACTGCCGAACGTAAGCATCGTCACCTTGTAGAAACTGGCATCACTTTGTTAGCTCATGCCTCCGTACCTTTTAGGTTCTGGAGTGATGCTTTCTCCACTGCCTGTTTTTTGATCAATAGGCTTCCTTCACGACTACTGAATATGAAAACCCCACTTGAACTCTTGCTCAATGAAATCCCAGACTACACCTTTCTCAAAGTCTTCGGGTGTGCCTGTTGGCCTTATTTGCTTCCATATAATAAACATAAGCTAGAGTTTCGGTCGAAAAAGTGCGTTTTTCTTGGGTATAGTTCCCTTCACAAAGGGTACAAATGCCTACATGTTCCCACCAATCGCGTTTACATTTCTCGTGACGTTGTTTTTGATGAGAATGTGTTTCCCCTTCGTGCACTTCCGAATACCTCTATCACTCTTATGCCAGACGCTTCTTCTACCACACCTCTGCCTGATCAATTTGTGGATGTTGCATATGCTCCTGTGTTGCTCCCTAACCATGCTGCAGGTGTTGGCCGTGGCGCTCGTCTCGAGCTCCTTGAAGAACAAGCACCGGCGCGTCCGGAGGACGATCGCGTGCATGGGGCATGCATATCGGGCGGCACACCGCAACCCGCAAGAGCTGCGCCGCGGCTGCCTCGCGGGCATCGCCCGACCCCGCTCCGCGAGCGGCGTCCTCGCCCGCCTCGTGGGAGTTCCCCGAGGTGGCCTCACAGGAGGTTGCTCCTGGGCCAGCCACGCCAGGCTCGCCTGGGCCGGCTTCGGCTCCCGATGGGCTGGCCACCCCAGGCTCGCCTGCTTCTTCGGCGCTCAGCGGCTCCGGCGTGGGCCTGGGCGACGTGGCCATGTCGGGCGCCACACCGCCCGCCTCCCCAACGCCCAGTGGCTCCGACGCGAGCCCTGGCGACTCGGGGTCACCTTCTTCGTCGCCTGCATCATGCCCTGCGTCGTCACCACAACCTGTTGCTCCTCGACATCGCACGCGCAGTCAGACCGGTGTCTTTCAGCCTAAGATCCGGACCGATGGGACTGTTGTGTGGCTCGCCGCGTGCATGGCTCATGCTGCTGCGGATCCCACTACTGAGCCTCACCACTTTCAGGCTGCACTAGGCATTCCCCACTGGCGTGCCGCGATGGAACAGGAGTTTCAAGCATTGCTGAAGAATGACACCTGGCAGCTTGTTCCTCCAGTGTCTGGGGTCAATATCATTGACTCTAAGTGGGTGTTTAAAGTTAAAAGGCATGCTGATGGCTCCATTGAGCGTTACAAGGCAAGGTTAGTGGCTAAGGGCTTCAAACAGAGGTATGGTCTTGACTATGAAGACACGTTCAGTCCAGTTATCAAGCCTACTACCATTCGTCTGCTACTATCCCTTGCTGTTACTCGAGGATGGTTTCTCCATCAACTTGATGTGCAGAACGCTTTTTTGCATGGAGTTCTGGAGGAGGAGGTTTATATGCGTCAGCCACCAGGGTTTGTGGATCCTGCACGTCCTAATCATCTCTGTCGTCTTTTTAAGGCGCTCTATGGTCTTAAGCAGGCTCCCCGTGCCTGGCATGCACGTCTTGGTTCGGTTTTGCGTGCACTTGGGTTCATTCCTTCTACTGCTGACACATCATTGTTCCTTCTTCAATGCCCTGAGGTTACGATGTATTTACTGGTCTATGTTGATGATATTATTCTCATCAGTTCCTCAGATGCTGCGGCAGACCGCCTTGTGGCTGCATTGAGTGGTGATTTTGCTGTTAAGGATCTCGGTGCTCTGCACTTCTTCCTTAGTCTGGAGGTGTCACGGTCTTCTGCTGGAGTCACTCTTACTCAGAAGAAGTACGCTCTGGATTTGTTGCGGGTATGCTGCAGTGTAAACCTGTCGCTACTCCTATGTCTGCCACTGATCGGTTGTCTGCTTTTGATGGTGACCCTCTCTCCTCTGATGATGCCACTGAGTACCGCAGTCTTGTTGGAGGCCTGCAGTATCTTACTATCACCAGACCAGATGTCTCTTATGCAGTCAATCGTGTCTGTCAGTTTCTTCATGCGCCCACGACATCCCATTGGTCCGCTGTGAAGCGCATTCTGCGATATATATGCCTCACTGCATCTCATGGTTTGCTTCTCCAGCGTGCGCCGTCTTATGAGATCTCGGCCTTCTCTGATGCTGACTGGGCTAGTAGTCCTGATGACCGGCGATCCACGGGGGGCTATGCAGTGTTTCTTGGTCCCAACTTGATTGCCTGGAATGCTCGCAAGCAGGCTACGGTGTCTCGCAGCAGCACAGAAGCCGAGTACAAAGCAGTTGCTGATGCGACAGCTGAGATCATTTGGGTTCAGTCCTTGCTGAGGGAGTTGCGAGTTCCTTCAGTTCACTCTCCAGTGCTTTGGTGTGATAACATTGATGCTACATATCATCTAACCCAGTGTTTCATGCTCGAACAAAACATATTGAGGTTGACTATCACTTTGTTCGAGAGCGTGTTGCACAGAAGCTGCTTAGCATCAAGTTCATATCATCAAAGGATCAACTTGCTGACATCTTCACGAAGCCTCTTCCACAACCACAGTTTGTAGGCTGCAGGCGCAATCTTAACTTAGTTTGTACTTCAGGCCACAGTTAAGATTGAGGGAGGGTGTTAGACTGTATATGGATGCGTAGACTTGTGTATACGTGTTGTACTTGTACTTGTACCCTTTGGTACTTATATATAATGAGATAGCCGCACCCCCAAAGGGTGTCGAGCAGTTGCCCCAATATTATAGTTTTACAGCTTACAACGTCTTAGGGATATTCTTCCTGCAATGTACGGCCTTATTGACCAAGCAGAGTGGAGGATCCACGAAGGTCGTGTCTCTGAGCTCCTTCCCAACCTCAAAGATGCAGTGAATGATGCTGATGACCTTCTTGATGAGTTCAGATGGCATGAGCTAAAGATGAAGGTGGAGGGCAATGCAAATCATTCTGCTTTTGATGACTTCTACAACACTACCGTACAAGGAAGCTTCAACAAAGTGAATGATATCCAAGCAAGGTTGAATAGTATTTCTGGTCAGCTAGAGAAAATGGGGTTATATGGAGTGACACCAGGGTTCGACAAATCAGTCAGGCCAGACACTACCCCTTTCCCGAATGAAAAAAATATATTTGGTCGTGACAAGGAACTGGAGGAGGTGATGGGATTTCTTGGTGTACCTCAAAATAAAGGATGGGCGTGGTTAAAACGGAAGAGAGAAAGTAGTGCAGTCAATGCATCAACAAGCACATCAGCATGGAACCAAATTAGTAATGAATCAAGAATACCAGCTATTCCTGTTTTGCCAATAGTTGGAATGGGGGGCGTTGGAAAGACCACTTTGGCTCAATATATATGCAATCATCAACAGGTGAAAGATTACTTTGAGTTAATAATCTGGATTTGTGCAGATGACTTTGATGTAAAGAGATTAATTAAAGATGCCATACAATCCGCTTCCGGAAAATGGACAATTCTTGATCATTTAGCTTCTCTTCAACATGCTCTTTCTCACAGTGTGAGCAATAAAAGGTTCTTGATTGTTGTTGATGATGTGTGGGATGATGCCTTGAAGGAAAATGAGCAGCGTTGGAAAGATTTCTATGATTCTTTAACAAATGTGGTACAGGGAAGTATGATGTTGGTCACAACAAGATTTCCAGATGTTGCTGATAGAGTGCGCACAATGGAGCCTTTCCCATTAGATGGTTTGAAGGAGGATGTGTTTTGGGATTTCTTTAAACTTTGTGCGTTTGGGTCTGTGAATTCCCGGAATGATCCTGAGTTAGAGAGGATTGGAAAAGGCATAGTTCCAAAGTTGAAGGGTTCTCCTTTGGCCGCCAAAACTCTTGGACGTCTATTAGGAATGAACCTTCATACAACACACTGGAATAATATACTAGAGAGTGAACTCTGGAAGTTGAAACAAGAGAAGACTGATATTTTGCTAGCCCTTCGGTTGAGCTACATATATTTGCCATTCCACTTGAAGAGATGATTCTCGTTCTGTGCTCTATACGCCAAAGATCACAAATTTGAAAAGGGCCATTTAGCTGAAATTTGGGTAGCAGAAGGCTTTGTGGAGCCTCAAGGCGACATTCCACTTGATGATATTGGCCATCAGTACTTTCAGGACCTTGTAAATAGGTCCTTCTTTCAAGAAGTTTGTGGTACATACATAATCCATGACTTGCTGCATGACATGACAAAACTAGTGTCAGGTCATGACTGCTTCACCATAAGAAATATGAGGGACTTCCAAATGGTTCCCCAGAATGTTCGTCATCTGTACATACTCCCAAGCAGAGACTTGAGCCTTCCCAACTTGTTAAGCCTAAGCAAGCACACAAAGCTGCATACACTAATTTGTGACATGTCTTTTCGGAATCAAGCTGCAGTTATAATGGACCGTTGGTGTTGTGAGCTTCAGCGTTTGCGTGTGCTTTTTTGGGCCTCTCCAAATGAGTTGCCAGACAGTATTGCCAACTTGAAGCATCTTCGGCATCTTGAAATCTCCAAGGCTTGTGCTTTCAATAGCTTTTCTTCAGCATTTTGTTCCCTCTATAATATGCAGAGATTATACGCGAAGGAGTGCAAGTTAGAAAGTTTGCCCTGTGATTTTAGTAAGTTGATAAGTTTACAGAGATTTAAATCACGAGGATTTGAATATTATGCAGGGTGTACTCTGAATATTGATGCAACCAATCGGTTCGAAATGATGTTGATAAAGAATTTGAACCAATTTGATGGACATATGAACATAAGGAATCTTGGTTCTGTGAGCAATTGTTATGCGGCAGAATTTAAACTGAAGGATAAGAAGTATCTTCGCCGACTGGGACTGACATGGTCTTTGCCGTTCTCTCCTGAGGACGTTGAGAAAGAAGTGCTTCAAGCCCTACAGCCTCCCACCAGTCTGGAATCTCTGTTCCTCAACGGTTATCCAGATGTGTCTCTCCCAAATTGGTTTCAGCAGCATAGAAACGTAAATGAGATGCCTGACAACAATAATGACGAGATTGGTACTTTGCCGTCCTTGGAAGAGCTAATCATTCTTCAGTGTCAAAATCTACGAAGCGTTGAGCAACTTCTGCGTCCAGCTTATGTGCCTACCATCAAGAAATTAAGGATTGTTGATTGCAAGCAGTTAGTATCATTATCAACTGAAACTTTTGGGGATTTTCATTCCCTTGAGAGCTTAGAAGTGCATGGTTGTCCAAATATCTGCTCGAGAAGTTTGGTGGCGCACTCCCTCAAGACACTCAAACTGGGAAGTTCTGGGTATCTCACAAACAATATCCAGTGCTGCTCCCTCATCGAGTTCTATTTATCAAGTGACTATGTCACGACCATCCAACCCCAAATGTGGAATCTTCCAGCTCTACAAAAGTTGCATGTTGCAAACTGCAGATATCTTTTATCTGTTGGACAAGGACAACCACCAATCAGGGCATTCGAATCCCTTACATTGCTAATCATTGATAATTGTGAGAACCTGACAACACTGGACGGTCTCCTAACGGAACAATGTTTGCCTGCCATTCAAACGATTGATGTTAGGAATTGTGGCAAGTTACAGTTCCTTTTTGGTGAAAGGCCTGGGAGTTTTCCTTACCTGAAAGATCTGTTGGTTCGTGATTGCCCTAGTCTCAAATGGCCAAGGGAACTAGTGTTACCATCATCCCTAAAAAAGCTTCACTTAGTTCGATGTGGGGATATTTCCTCCTGGTTTTTAAGCTGCCTACAAAACCTCAAATCTCTGGTTGATCTGGCTTTGATTGGATGTCCAAGTATAACATCCATTCCACCCGGCGCTTGCAGAAGTAATCTCGCATCACTTCGTGATTTGCATATCTCGGGTTGTCCGGACCTCGTGTCAATTGGTGGAGCAAAGGCTGTTGCAAAAATAAAGTATGTGGGCATTTACGATTGCCCAAAGATGGAGGATCTTAAGCAGCCTGTGAGCAGAGGCACAGATATGTTGTCACTTACACTTCGACCTTCACCCTCCTGTTCATTTCCGACTCAGTTGTAAGAGAGTGGGGTCTCTCTTTCCACATGGTACGTGTGTTTACATCTCACAGAAGTTCACACTAGTTCCTTTCCAGATTTTCTTCATTTGTTCTTGCATTGTTCTGATGTACTCCCTCCGTTCGGAATTACTTGTCTCGGAAATGGATGTATCTAGAACTAAAATACATCTAGATACATCCATTTTCGCGACAAGTAATTCCGAACGGAGGGAGTACAACAATATAACACGTCTGTAGCTGCGTATGCTGGGCGACCTACTGATAACACCTCATTCAGTGCACTTTTCTCATCCATGGTCACTTTGCACAGTACTAGCAAACACGTGAAGGAAAGTTGAGCGACAATTGCTTCCAATGTTTTATTTCAACATTAGCTGTGAGTACATGTATACTGAAGTTAATCAAGTTGCCTTCCTGTGTTGCTACGATTTATCACTGCATATATTTAGGATCCAAGGGCGTTGCAAATTGGGCGTGAGCGTGCTTAGTTAGCTAATACAGTCTGTCTGGTTATTTGTTTCTGACCTTGTACAAGTACTCCCTCCGTTCGGAATTACTTGTCTCGGAAATGAATGTATCTAGAACTAAAATACATCTAGATACATCCATTTCTACGACAAGTAATTCCGAACGGAGGGAGTAGAATGTTCTAGCTAAATGAGTGCCTCGTGCATCATGCTCGAACCTTCTACCTAACCACTACATGCTTCTGTTGGCCGAAACACCTGCACTTTGAAACTCTGTATATGATGCGAGGACAAATTCTTAATTCTCATTGCAGCCTGTAGCCCCATTTTCCTATTCAGCAATTTACTGATTTTCCTCGATGCACTTTACTGATCAATGCCTTCTTCTCCAGATGCAGCTTATTACCGAGTGAGAGTTGACTCGCATCAAGGCCAGTGAGGAGGAAAAATGCGTCTCTCCAGTCCAAACTTATATATGCTGATAACTACCGGTTCCGCAGAACGGCAGAAGACGCTTTCTAGCCGTTGATAACGCCCCGGTATCTTTCAAGGGAGTCCACTTGTTCTTTGCAATGCTTGATACAGACGCAATCCAGTAATTTCCAATGTGTTTCTACGAGTGTCTGAGAACCATGAAAGCCAGTGAACCTGAATCTTCCAAAAAATAAAAGGAGTGTTTCTACGAGTGTCTGAGAACATATTCTGCTGTATTTGCAACAAGTGAGGGTAAAACACGTATTGCGCTACTGTTGCCTTTTATGGTGTGGCTGTGTCATTTGCTTTTGCTTTTGCTCGGTTGATTTGTGAACAGTTTTATACTCCAAACTTGGCTGGTGACAGCTCGTGCCGACTTTGGTTGTTTCAGTGTGTTTTGCAGGGAGCTCGCTCCTTTCTGCCCTTTTTTGCCTTGCTACCATCAACCAGGCGCAGCTTAGAGTTAGTTAATTGGGAGTAAATTGCACAAAACCATCACTTTGAAGGTTGGGTTTACGAAACACACTATAATACATTTTCTTTACAAAAAACACCACGTCTACGGTAATCCTTTGCAAAAAACATTGATAAGCGAATCGGGCTCAGTTAAGTGAGTTTATGATAAATGGGGTCCACCAGTCAGGCTGACGTGGCACAGCATAAGTAACCGCGATGTTGGCTAACGTTATCATTATGTGTGGCCCCGTGAGGTCCACCTGTCATTGAAACAAAAAAGAAAAAAAAACTGATGCTCGTCAACCTCCCGTCGTTGGACCAGCACGTCCAGAGCTGCTGCTGCTCGCCACGTCCACCGCGCGCCGCTCCCGCTGCTGCCGCGCCTCGCTCCTGCCGCGCACGCTGCTCGCCGCTGCCGCCGCGCCCGCCGCGTCTCTGTGACGCCCCCTGATTCAATCATACACTAATCATGCACGCAAATGTGTACGATCAAGATCAGGGACTCACGGGAAGATATCACAACACAACTCTAAAACTAAAATAAGTCATACAAGCATCATAATACAAGCCAGGGGCCTCTAGGGCTCGAATACAAGTACTCGATCATAGACGAGTCAGCGGAAACAACAATATCTGAGTACAGACATAAGTTAAACAAGTTGCCATAAGATGGCTAGCACAAACTGGGATACAGATCGAAAGAGGCGCAGGCCTCCTGCTTGGGATCCTCCTAAACTACTCCTGGTCGTTGTCAGCGGCCTGCACGTATTAGTAGGCACCTCTAGTGTAGTAGGAGTCATCGTCGACGGTGGCGTCTGGCTCCTGGGCTCCAACGTCTGGTTGCGGCATCCAAGAAGAAGAGGCAAAAGGGGAAAAAGGGGAGCAAAACAACCGTGAGTACTCATCCAAAGTACTCGCAAGCAAGGATCTACACTATATATGCATGGGTATATGTGTAAAGAGGCAATATCGGTGGACTGAACTGCAGAATGCCAGAATAAGAGGGGGATAGCTAGTCCTATCGAAGACTACGCTTCTAGCAGCCTCCGTCTTACAACATGTAGAAGAGAGTAGATTGAAGTCCTCCAAGTAGCATCGCATAGCATAATCCTACCCGGCGATCCTTCCCTCGTCGCCCTGTGGGAAAGCGATCACCGGGTTGTCTCTGGAACTTGTCTGGGTGTGTTTTATTAAGTCGGTTCTAGTTGTCATAAGGCCAAAGGTACAACTCCGGGTCGTCCTTTTACCGAGGGACACGGCTATTCGAATAGATAAACTTCCCTGCAGGGGTGCACCACATAACCCAACATGTTTGATCCCATTTGGCCGGACACACTTTCCTGGGTCATGCCCGGCCTCGGAAGATCAACACGTCGCAGCCCCACCTAGGCACAACAGAGAGGTCAGCACGCCGGTCTAAATCCTATGCGCGCAGGGGTCTGGGCCCATCGCCCATTGCACACCTGCACATTGCGTGGGCAGCCAAAGAGCAGACCTAGCAACCTCCATTACAAAGGAAGTTGCGTTACGCGGTCCAACCCGGCGCGTGCCGCTCAGTCGCTGACGTCAAGAAGGCTTCGACTGATACCACGACGTCGAGTGCCCATAACTGTTTCCGCGTAGCTGGTTAGTGCGTATAGGCCAGTGGCCAGACTCAGGTCAAATACCAAGATCTCGTTAAGCATGTTATTATGAAATAACCACGAACGCCGACCAGGGCCTGGCCCACCTCTCTCCTAGGTGGTCTCAACCTGCCCTGTCGCTCTGCCTCAAAGTAACAGTCGGGGGCCGTCGGGAACCCAGGCCCACCTCTACCGGGATGGAGCCACCTGTCCTTTCACCCCCCACATCGGAATCACGTGCGGGTAGTCAACGGCCGACCCGACTTTAGTCACCATCTGTATAGTATATATATATGTATAGTATATACCCGTGATCACCTCCCGAGAGATCACGGCCCCGATAGTATAGCAAGGCAGACTGACAAGAATGTAGGGCCAATGATGATAAACTAGCATCCTATACTAGGCATTTAGGATTGCGGCTAAGGTATCAATTACTGTAGCAACAATGACAGGCTATGCAACAGAATAGGAGTAACCGAACAGTAACATGCTACACTACTCTAATGCACGCAGTAGAGAGAACAATAGGCGATATCTGGTGATCAAGGGGGGGGGGGCTTGCCTGGTTGCTCTGGCAAGAAGGAGGGATCGTCAACTCCGTAGTCGAACTAGGGGTTGCCGGCAGTCTCGGGGTCTACCGGAAAGAAGTAACGGAGGAGGAACACAATAAATAATAGAGCAATCAAAGCATCACAAAGCGTAACATGGCAATACGCGGTGCTAGGTGTGCCCTAACGCGTCAGTAGGTGGTACCGGCGAAAGGGGGAAACATCCGGGAAAGTATCCCCGGTGTTTCGCGTTTTCGGACAGATGAACCGAAGGTGAAATGTTGTAGGTTCACTATGCTAGGAACGCGTGGCAGACGAACGGGCTGTGTATCTGGATTCGTCTCGTCGTTCTGAGCAACTTTCATGTACAAAGTTTTTCCATCCGAGCTACGGTCTATTTTATATTAATTTTAAAAGATTTAATCATTTTTAGAATTTATTTAATTATTTTATATCAACATTATCCAGAATAGTGTATGCTGATGTCATCATGACGTCAGCAGCCAATAGGGCATTGACTGGGTCAAACTGACGTGTGGGTCCCAGGTGTCATTGACTGTTAACTAACCTAACCGATTATTTAACTAACCTAAGTGATTAGGTTAATCTAATCAGGATTAATTAAGTTAATTAATTAAGTATTTAATTAATTAATTATTATTTTTTAATTATATATTTTTATTTCTTTCTCTTCTTTTTTTAACGTTCTCTGGGCATGGGGGCATGGGGCCCATCTGTCATAGGCCCCAGGGGCCTTAGCGGAGCGTGGGCGTAACGGGTGCAGGGGCGAGGTTGCCCGTCAGGGCGAACCCGAGCGACGCCCAGCGTGCGCGGATGGGTGCCGACGCGGCGCCAACGAGGTCACAACGGGGTGGGGCCGTGGCGAAGCGGGCAGTCGCCAGAGGAGGACGTCGGGGCCGTGAAGGGTGTGATCGGACCACCGCGGGGCGGGTCGGCAAGCAGCGGCGGAGGTGGCTGCGGCTGAGTGGCAGGGCGCTGGAGCCCGGGGCAACGGGGAGCAGCCACAGGGGTGGGGCGGGGCGCGCCCATGTGCGCCGCGCGGCCAAGGGCCGGTAAGCGCGTTGGCGGAGCCAGGAGAGCGGGGGAAGCAGCCTGCAGGGTCGAGCGGGCAGGGTTAGGCGAGGCCGTGGCCGGAGCGGACGAAGGATGCGGGGAGAGAGGAGAGGTCGGGCCTCACCACGGGTCATGGGGTTCGAGGCAACGGGGGGCGAGGAGAAGGGCGGAGACGACGCGGCGGAGAGGAAGCAGGCCGGCGAGGACGCGCTCCGGCGAGGTCCAGGCGGTGTTCCGGGCGGCGGTGGACGGCTTCGGGCGACGAGTGGCCGTGCCAGGGGCGATGCGATCGAGACGACGCCAAGAGGGATGAGGGAGCGAGGTGGGGACGGGGCGGCATAGGTGAGGGAGACCTGGA